ATGCTATGCTGAGTAGGAAGCTCGCATACTCGGATTCTGGCATGGCCCACCCCCACCACCCCCCACAAACAACATGCCTCCGTCCACTTGGCTTTGCGAAAAAACTTGGAGTGCGAATCGTAGTCAGTGCGTTGTCGCCTTGCCTACTGCTCGGGTATGCGAGTGTCAAGAAGAGACTGCTTCTCGTCTTTTGAACTTTTCAAGGAAGCCTCCTTGGAAATTGAGCCGCAGCCCTGGGCGAAACGCTCCAGGCGCCAAAAATTAATAACAAGGATCATCAGGGAGCCAACTGCGACCAACGTGGAGCGGAACATGAAGCGCATGCCCCCCACATCCGATAGCCAACCTGCGACAGAATAGCCAACGGCACGGCCACTGTAGAAAGCAGCAAAAAACGAGCCTTGACCAGTAGCCTTGAGATGAGGTTTCTCATGTAGAAGGACGTCGTTCATATAAGTTACGCAAGGTCCCCAGAAGAGCGCAATCGTGAGCGCGTGAATGGGCTCGATAAGCAGCACATAGTATGGATTCTGAAGGAGCGAGTAGGAGACGACACGGATAAGATAGGCAACGCTTGTAATGGCCAAAACCCACTTCATCCCGATCCGATGGTAAATACGATCGCTCCAAAAAAAAAGTGGGATCTCAACAATCGACGCCACAGCATACATGGCCCCAACAAGGCTCGAATTCCCACCGAGGTCGATGATCCAAAGCGCCAGGTAGCCATCAATTGTTGAGAAGAGATAGCCTGTGCAGAGAATTATAGATAAGAAGGGCATCATCAGCACATTGTGAACAACCAGGTGCATGAGCTCGCTCCACGAAGGCTTACTCTCGTGACCTGTGTCGTGACGTATGCTGCCATATAGAGTAAAGGGATAAAACGACAGCAAAATAAGAGCAACAAATCCCATCAAGGCAAGGACATAGAAGAGCATGTAGTATCCATACAGGTCCATGAGCCAACCATCTCCAAAGCAGAAAAGTGCCCATGCAATCGCCGCANAAAGTCTTTG